CCAGGGTCACAGGCTCTCAAGGCCACTGGGGCGGAGCTGGCCCAAGCTGAGGAAACAACTCACAGAAGGAGGGGTCTTGGTTCAGCTGTGTCTGGGGCACCAGTGGGGGAGGCAGAAAACCAAGCAAGGGAGAAATGAGGCGAGAGAAGAAGGGAGGGAGAGGGGTGACTGTGCTAACTCCATGATCATTTGTTAAATGGCTCTCAGATGCCAGCCCTACGCTGGTGGGTTCCAACTCCTGGGAATTCCCAGTCTAGCAGAGGAGGCAAGTGATCCTCAAAAGTGACTACTTCCAGGAGGTGGATACTAAGGCTGAGGAGTGACCTTCTGTGAGTGACTGGGGGACTGGGGCAGGGGTTGCACCAGGCCAGTGGCCCAGGCAGGCTTCTGGGAGGGGAGGATTTAGGTTGCATTTTAAAGGATATGATTTCCAAACTGTAAGGAAGCTAGCAAAATTACTGTTCACTAGAAGTGATCTTAAATGTTATTCTTGGTTTTACTTTCTGAAAGCTGGTGTGGCCTCTTGGGGTCACGTTTGATCTTGTTTATTTGTTCACTGGTATCAGCTGCACTGTGGGCAGCACACTCAGCATGAGAGGGGACCTACACGTGACCCTGTCCTCAGGGCCTCTTGGCTGGGGAGGAGGGCAGCTGTGGGGTTGATGTGGAAGGTGGAAGAGGGAAGGTGGTGAAGACACAGACAGAGACAGCAACACAGGCAGGGTTTGATCAAGCTCCATGGGGTCCTGATCAGGGGCATGCTGGTAAAGGTTTAACAGCCAGCTCTCAGCATTCTGGGGGAGAGGATGCACATGCCAGGGGGAAGGGAAGCTCCAATTTGTAGTGTTTTCCTTGGTGTAAATATTCCCAGAATGACCAATTTCAAGCTACCCGTTTAACATTACTGAATGCAGAATTAGTTAATTCATGATCGTTTGTTGAATGCCTCCCAGATGTTGCCTAACTGTTTTTCACAAGCCTGTAGGAGCCAGGTCCAGCACATTGCTGACTTTGAATCTTCTCTGCCATTTGTTGCTGAGGCCAGAAGTCCTACTATCAGAGGCTCATCTTTCAAATTCAAGTTTGGTCCACGTTGAAAAGGGGAGCTGGGGGAAAGGGTCACCAGTCCTACCTTCTGTTGTTAGGGCCGTCCAATCCTGGGTCCATTTGCTGATGTGAAGCCATGGGCAATTGGGCTTCAACTCTCTAAATCTCAGTTTCCTCATCTGGAAAACGGGGATCATAACAGCACTGCTTCCCAGAACTATGGTGAGGATTAAATGAGAAAATTACACGTGAGCTCACAGAAGGAGCTCAGCTGACATGGCTGCCTTCCCGACTAGATGGACGTAACAATCTCCTCTCTCTCATTGCCTCAACTGCGACTTCTCTGAGAGGCCTTGGGAGGTGAGCCCTGGATCCTCAGGAAGAGACATTGCTCTCCAGCCAGAGGTTCTTGCTAAGTCAAAGCTGGAGCCAGCCCAGGCCAGCAGCCTCAGGAAGTCACCAAGAGGATGATGTTATTGCCCCAGAGAAGCTGTGGTTTGCCTCTGTGAGCTTGGCTTCACTGTAGGGGAAGCTCAGCTGACCATGCCCTTGCTGTCCCTCCTCCTTAAAGCCTCCCTCTCTAGCCTTTATATAGTTCTCTGGATTCCCCAAAGGTTCCACTGCAGAGCTTCATCTGGGGTTGCTTTACTACCTGCTAATCCATACTAGGAAGTGAATAACTGACACCCCCACTCATTCCTCTCAAGATGTTGCTGGACAAGCCAAATGAATTCAGGCAACAAGGAAAAGTAGTGAAAACACAAAAGGAAAAACAGAACTGGGCGAGAGGGCCAATTAAGGATGGGGTAACAGAGACCTGAAGGGCAGTCAGGAACATGGGGTTCATAGCTCAGTGCAGCCACTGACTACTCACTGCACGCTTTGCACAGGTTGTTCCCCTTCTTTGGCTCTCAGTTTCCCCACATGTAAGTTGAAGGAGGTGGACACAATGCACTCTCACTCCCTCAGTCTGAGGTTCTGAGGGCAAAAGGGTCACAAGAAGTGTATTACCTATTGCCACTGTATCAAATTACCACAGATTCCGTGGCTTAAAACAACATAAATTTATTATCTTAAAGTTCCAGAGGTCAGCAGTCCAGAATGGGTCACCAGGGCTGCATTCCTTCTGGAGGCTCAGGGGAGAATCTGTTCCTTGCCTCTTCTAGCTTCTAGAGGCTGCCTGAATTCATTGTGTTGTGGCTGCATCACTCTGACCTCTGTTTCCGTCGTCACATATTCTTCTGTGATTTGGACACCCCTGCCTCCCTCTTAAGGACACTTATGATTACATTGGGCCCACCTAAATAATCCAGGATACTCTCCCAATCTCAAGATCTTTAACTTAATCACATCTGCAAAGTCCTTTTTGATATATAAGGTAACATACTCACAGGTTTCAGGGATTAGGATGTGGATATCTTTGGGGGGCCATTATTCTGCTGACCATATGGAGGCTGCGTTTTGCAAGGAAGCTCAATAATGGCGTTGGGGCATTGATGGTGGACTCTACAGAGGCTAGACCAGCCAATGAGGGAAATATCCTGGGCAACCAAGACCTTCTGAGCCCAAATTACACCTTTCTCCAGTGGCCCCTTTCAGTAACTACTGGATAGAGCAGAACAGAGGCGGAAGATAAGATGGGACCAGGGACAAGGCACTGTTCCTGGAGTCTGAAGTCCCGGGACCCAGATGCAGCTCAGCCAGTGACTTCCTACAGGAGTGTGGAAAAGTTGCTTTGCTCCTGAGTTAAATGGGGCTGACAGTTCCCTCCTGGTTTGCCTTACAATACTACCACAGTGGATATGAAGGTGCCTGGCCAATTGTTGTGTGCACATCGGTGCTAGCTGCTGTTGTCATCGTTGTTGGTATTATTGGTAAAAGTGATGGGAGGGGCTGGTGGCCCCAGAGGTCAGGAGGTCATGGAGAGATTCCCAGAGTGAAAGATCAGGAGGCCAGAGGCCCTAAGAGGGAAGAGAACAGAGTGTTTCAGGTGGAGGGGGCCTTGTAAAAGTGGCCTGGTCCAACCGTGAAACCTGCTGACCCTGGCCTCTGGCTTTGATCAAAGCAATCATCAGACTTGGCTGTTGGTTAAAGCAAAAGTCAGAGACTTTGAGAAGCCAAGTCAGGATCAAGGTCAGTGCTGACAGATCAGAAGAGCTGGTGTTTAATTAGTGGCAGCTGCTGACTAAGAAGCCCTGATCAGGCCCAAGTGCAGAAGAGCACTCCCTCCTTCCAACCCCAGCAGCTCACAGACTTCCAACACCAGCCATGTGCTGGGAGTGTCCTTACTGCTACCCAGGAAAGGTGGGGGCTCAGGGACAGGAGACCCCAGAAGCACAGCAGGGGAATGGAGGACCAGGAAAGGAAGGCACAGAGCCAAGTTCCTGGGGCCAGTCAGGAGCAGAGCCCTGTTTTAGATAAAGCTGCCCAGGCTGAGCTCCTGGGGTGGGAACAGGGCGTGTGTATGATTTTCTCCAATATTTGGCCCAGATGCCATTTGACAGGAGCCCCAGGGTAGGGCAGAGGCTCAAGGAGTAGGAGGACTCCAGGGCTCCCCTGGGAGATGTTCCACCTCAGCAGCTTTGGATATTTCCATCAGCTGTGAGGTCACAGTGTCACAGATACTAGAAGGGTCAGCTGAAGGCCTGAGTCAACATTTCTTTCAAAATTCTACCTGGAAAAAAATAGACAAAACTTCTACTAGGAAGGACTGGGGAAAATGTTTGCAATATATATGCAAAAAGCTAAAATCCTTACTATATAAAGCCTCTCATAAAATGAGAATCCCTCCCATTAAAACAATAAATCATTTATAGAAGAAATATAAACTGGCATAGAACATATTAAAAAGTTCAGTCTCACTTGAATCAAAGAATAAAAAGTAAAATGCAAAGCTACAAGGTGGAGTTGATTTGTATTTCTCGGTTTGTGGCCCATTATCATCACCAGCCTACAGGCCCCACTCTGGTGGCTGTGCACGATTGCCTGCTTGGGCCACATATTCTTTTTTATCTCTTTCCTCTTGCCTCCCCAAACCCTCTTCCCCACTGGGGAACAATCTAATGTCTCTCTCCTTCTGGAACACAGAACAGGATTGAGCATAATCCTTGGTTCATGATAGACTCTGTCACTGGTTCACGTGAGGCTCCCTTTTAAAAATTATTTTTAATGATACAATTAAAACCCAGGAAACCGCTGCCCCAGAGGGAACTTGACCATGGACAGTGACTTGCCCCCATCCCATGCCTCTGGCTTCTCCTGCCCAGGCAGCTGCCATCTTGAATCCTGTGGCTGTCATTCCCCTGCTTTCTCTTTCATCTCTTTGAACTCCTTCAAAGTATATATATATATATTTGTTTCATTTGTCTTAATTTTATTAAAAGAGTATCATTTATATATATTTTAATGGGACTTGGAGATAATGGACATATTCAAAAGGCAGTAAGGAGGTAAAAACTCACAGGGTGGTGGTGAGGGGGGTGAGGAAGGAATATGGATATCTCCCACGTTTCAGTCTTAGGTGACTGGATAGGTAGTTCTGCCATTCAGTTAGACAGAACAGGAGAGGAGGAGATGGTGGGAAGATGATGGACTCAGTGCTGGGCACAGCAATAATGTAAGCTAACATTTATTGAGTGCCTACTCTGTTCTGGGCACTTTTTGTAGAACTTGAAGTGCTCTACAAGAATGATCACATTTAAGCCTCACAAGAATCCCATGAAGTAGGAACTATTATTATTATCATTTTAAAGATGGGGAAACAGAAGGATGGAAAGGTTTACTAGGTTCTGAGTCTATCAACATGATGGATCACACCTTTCTGCTACTAACCTAGAAATACTGGATAAAATATTTTTAAAATATTAAATATTTATAAATGAAAATATTGACATAAAACTAAATATTTATAAATAAAATATTTTAAAAATAACAAAAGTAAGGGAAATCCTCAGGTGATAGAAGTAAAGAAAGCTTAAAGTCTTTTGGACATCCTAGAGAGGTAGCAAAAGTGGGTTTGGAGAGAGGTAGGGAACGTCTGGTTTCATCTTATTTCTCTCATACTACTCTCTGGTCCACAGAGCTCCAGGACTGGGAGTGTCCTCCCAACATGGCTGCCACGGCCTCCCCCCTGCCACTCGCCACCAAGGTCGCTAGTTCTGAGAACAGCAGCTACTTCTATGACTATGACTACTACCTGGAGGAGGTGGCCTTCATGCTCTGCAGGAAGGATGAGGTGCTGTCCTTTGGCAAAGTCTTCCTGCCAGTCTTCTACAGCCTGATCTTTGTGCTGGGCCTGGGTGGGAACCTCCTTCTTCTAGTGGTCTTGCTCCAGTATGTGCCTCGCAGGCGGATGACTGAGGTCTATCTGCTAAACCTAGCCATCTCCAACCTCTTGTTTGTGGTGACACTGCCGTTCTGGGGCATCTCCGTGGCCTGGCACTGGGTCTTTGGGAGTTTCTTGTGCAAGATGGTGAGCACCCTTTATACCATTAACTTCTACAGTGGCATCTTCTTCATTAGCTGCATGAGCCTGGACAAGTACCTGGAGATCGTCCATGCTCAGCCTCACCACAGGCTGAGGACCAGGGCCAAGAGCCTACTCCTTGCTGCCACAGTATGGGCTGTGGCCCTGGCTATCTCCATCCCTGACATGGTCTTTGTGCAGACACATGAATACCCCACAGGTGTGTGGAGCTGCTATGCGGATTTTGGAGGGCATGGGACCATCTGGAAGCTCTTCCTCCGCTTCCAGCAGAACCTCCTGGGGTTTCTCCTTCCACTCCTTACCATGATCTTCTTCTACACCCGCATTGGCTCTGTCCTGGTCAGGCTGAGGCCCCCAGGCCAGGGCCGGGCTCTGAGGATAGCCATAGCCCTGGTGGTGGCCTTCTTTGTGCTATGGTTCCCATACAACCTCACCTTGTTTCTGCACTCACTGCTGGACCTGAAAGTCTTTGGGAACTGCAAGGTCAGCCAGCACCTGGACTATGCACTGCAGGTGACAGAGAGCATCGCCTTCCTTCACTGCTGCTTCACTCCCATCCTCTATGCCTTTTCCAGCCGTCGCTTCCGCCAGTACCTGAAGGCTTTCCTGGCCACAGTGCTCAGACGGCACCAGACACCTCGCCCTGCCCAGGCTCCACCGTCCAGCTGTTCTGAGAGTAGCAGGCTCACTGCCCAAGAAGAAATGACCAGCATGAATGACCTTGGGGAAAGGCAGGCTGAGGATCCCCCCAACAAGCGGGATGTGGGGAAAAATTAAGCCTGAGTGGCCATACCACAGTCTGGTGACAGCAGATGGGACCCAGCTCAGTTGGGCATCCACTTAAAGTCCTCTCTCCAAGGGCCTCAGTGACCATGTTGCTAAACCTAGTGGTCAGTTCTCAGTTCTCCATTCTCAGCCATCAGCAGCATTTGCTCACTCCTGCCTTTTTCCTCCACTTTCTTCATTGCCTTCCAGGACACCATACTCTCTTGCCTGCATTGCTGCAATAGCTTCTCAACTGATCTCTGCATTTCCTTTCGTCATGCTCCCCTATCATCTAATCTGCATCCAGCAGCCAGAGTGATCAAGAGACCCTCAGCCCTCACTCCTTATCTCCCTCAGAGTAGCCTGAGGCCTGCCACCCACCAGGCTGCCCCTTCCCTGTAGCTCAGCTGGGGGAATATTGTTGCAATATTTTTGAATATTGTATCCTTGATGGTGGCACTAGGGTCTGGCAATCAGGAGGTGCCAGAGGTGCTCCACCTGGGGAACTGCCCAGGAACATGGGAGTCTACAGGTGGGAGGCAGAGTGAACACGTGTTCCTGGGGGTCCAGGAGGATACGCCTCCCTCTGCCTCCCATTTCCCCCTCTCAGGAGCCTTCAGGGCTCCCTAGAGCCGGCACAATCAAGTCCAAAATATTTGTCCAACTTCAAGGCTGGAGCTTTCACAAGTAGAATCCCGTACACTGTTTCACCTTTCTACTCCTCCACACCCTTTTCATTTCCTGGATGCCAGGCACCCCTTGCTGTTTCTGGCACCTTCCCACCACTATGCTTTTGTGCTTGCCGGCTCCCTCATGTCACAGGGATCGTTTTCCAGCTAGGTATCCCTTCACCTTTGTCTTGTAACTGAATCCCACTTGCTCTGGGAAACCATTCCTTGGTCACTCTGCCCTGTGCTTTGAGTGAAAATCAGATAGAGCATGGGACTTTGGCCAATTATGGCCTTACATTTCCCTGGCACAGTGATTCATTTAGGGATGGGCACATGACCCAGGTGGAGCTTGTGAAATGTAAAACAACTACAACATGCTAGAACAGAGGCATGAAACTGAAGCCAAGAGATGTGAGGTCTGGAGCTGCTCCTTCGTCAACTCGAACTTCAGAAGGTGAGGTGATAGCACAAGTGAGTGAGAAGACCCTGGGGGCAGTGTTTGAACCCCAGAATCAAGGCACAGCTGAAGCTCATCCCAATCCTGGACTTGACAGTTACACGAACCAATAAATTCCTTTCCAGTTTAAAGTGGTGGTGGTTTGTTACTTGCAATCTAAGGATTCCTGACTGATATGCCCTGCCTCGGTGCTTTTCTCTTCATGTCCCCAATGGTCGGCATCCTCCCTGTCCACTGACATGTCCACTGAGAAACCTTTCCCCAGTGAGCCCCTGGCCCACAGTGACCTCTCTCTTTCCTGAGCTTCTAAAGCACTCACTGCTTTCCCCCTCCTTCCAGAACTACCTGGCACAATATGCCCACATCTTGCCATGTCTGTCCTGCAAAACCCAGCACAGAGCCTGGCAGACAGTAGTGCTCAGAAGGAAACTTTTAGGTGGATGGGATGGAGGACTGGAGAACACGTGGCTGGGTGAATGTAAGCTCCAGGAAAGCAGGGACTTTGCTATGTGTAAAATCTGCATCCCTCATGCTTAAGCCAGAGCTCAGACTATAGTAGGTGCTCACTAAGTATTTTCTTTTTGTGTATATGTGAGGAAGATTAGCCCTGAGCTAACATCTGTCGCCAATCCTCCTCTTTTTGCTGAGGAAGACTGGCCCTGGGCTAACATCCATGCCCATCTTCCTCCACTTTATATGGGATGCCGCCACAGCATGGCTTGATGAGTGGTGCGTCGGTGCATGCCTAGGATCCGAACCCCGGGCCACCGCAGCAGAGCACGCTCTCTTAACCGCTATGCCACCGGGCTGGCCCCTCACTAAGTATTTTCTTGAATGAATGACTGGATGGATAGAGAATTGAGCAGGTGGTCAGTATTCTGCCTACTCTTTCTTCTCTTCCCCTGAGCTTCAATGGATAGTCTAGTCACAGCACATGTGTCACGAGCAGGGCTGTCCCTGGATGTTGCCTGAATTGACCTTGCTGATTTTTCTATCTTCCCCCCACCCCCACCATCTCTTTCAGCTCTGCCCCAAGGCCCCAGACTCCCCACTATCAGGAGGGACTCTGAGCTCCCTCAGTCCCCTGGGAAATGAAGCTCTGGATCTGAAGATGGTGATTTGTTTGAGGGTGTAGCGGATGGGGTTCTATTTTAGAGCTCCTGAAATCTTGCCCCACAAGGGACCTCAGTCCTGCCCACATGGCAGCCTGACTGGTGAGATACAGCTTGAGCTGTACTGATGGAGTCTAGGTCCCTGACTAGGTCCCAGGCTAGAGTCTCTGACTTGGTGCCCATGACGCACAGATGGGATGGGGCAAGGTATGCCAGGTAAGGGACACCCAGCAAGGCTTGTCACCAGCACTGGCAGATTTGTGTGTGTGTGTGTGTGTGTGTGTGTGTGTGTATGTGTGTGTGAAGTCTGTGTGCATGTCTCTGTGTTGCCACGTGGGCTGTGTGTAGTACATATGGCTGTGTATGTGGATCTGACATGAACGTGTCATTGTGTCCACGTGGGTCTGGGTTAGTGTGCCCACTGGTTTTTTTATCTATTCTTATGAGTCTTTCTCTAGCTGTGTAAGTGTGGGAGTGTGCTCTCTGCAAACAACAGGTGTATAAGAAATACCTTGAAGCCTGTGCCCAGAGGGGAGGAGAAGGGCTGGCCGCAGGTGACCCATTGGTTCCTCTCATGTCTTAGTTGCCATGTACTGCAGCTGAGCACGGTGAGGGCTCTGACTGCAGTGCTGGTTGTGACAAGGCATGCTGGCACTGGTTGAGGAGTGAGTTGGAGGTGGCCTTTCACAGCCCAGGCCAAGACAGAGCCCTTTCCATCCCAACCTTATTTTCCAGCCTGGACCTTGGTCCCTCCTGCTGCTCTCTGTCTGCCCAAAGACCTGGCTCCCTGTCTGTACTGCCCACGTCTCCCCCAGGGGTCTCAGGAAACCCCCAGGATTCTCCTGCCCTTCAGGCTCTGAGGCAGGGTGAACTCTTCCCCTGGCTGACCCAGGGAGAAGGGCAGGCTCTGCCTGGGAGGAGGGCTGCCCACCCTCCACCCTGTGAAGTGTGGTGTGAGTGTTCACAGCAGTTATCGCCTATGAAAACATCTCTTTTCTTTCCGCAGTGCTTGCAATTCCGCCACTGGTGTGTCATCCCTGCTCTTGCTTTGTTATAAGCTATCCTCAGGGAGAATACACAGAGTGGGCTTTTCTCTGAGGGAGAAAAAATTTGGTGCAGAAATGAGGAATTGGGTCAGGACATGTAGTGCCTAGCTGCAGCCTTGGGGATCTCCGTCTTCTTCCTGCCTCAAGGCCTCCACCAGGGAAGGAAGGGTGGCCCTTGTAGAGAGTATCTCCAGCTGTCCCCATGCAGGGGGCATAGAGCTACAGGTGCCATGGGCCCCTCCCCTGCCAGCACGTGGGCCTTGGCCTCTACATGCACACTCTGATCCTGAGGGCTCACTGGTGGACATCCCTACTGTGGATGGTACATTTGTATTCACCTCACACCTGACACACTAGGCTTCCCTTGGTCCCAGGCATACCCTCAAACAGACTGCAGGATCCATGAAGTTCCTGGAAGATCTGCACGAGGTCACGCTCAGTTGAGACCTCTCGGTCCTGACTCAGTGGATGTGGGTCCTCAGCCATGCCCCAGCCTGTCCACAGGCCAGGCTTCTGGTCCATATTCCTTTGGGTGTGGGGAAAAGGAGGGATGTGGCACCTCGGTCTGGGCAGGGCCAAGGAGGTGTAAAGGTGCTGCATCTCTGCCCCTATCCCCACACCTGCTCTGGCACAGGTCCTGGCTGCGTGGGGAGGTTGTTGGTAAGCTCCCCGTGGATGGCTTCCACCTTCCCAGCCCCCTTCTCCCTCTCCTGTGGTCTCTACGTGACTCTTCTTGTGCTCCTGCCCTTGTGGAATAGGATGGGATATCTTGGCTTCTCCTAGCCAGTCAGAGCTCTATCAGGCTCCAGGCAGACATCATCATTTTGGGGTAGCTAGATTCAGAGAAAGGCAGGCCCTGGCCCCTAGTCTCATAGTTAGTAGGGACAGACCCCTGCCCCCAGCCCAGGCCCCTGCCCCCTCTAATAGTCTATTATCCTGGCAAAACTGAGGGCAGAACAGGCAACTTCAAGAGAAAGGAAGAGGCCAGTCAGAGATGTGGGAGAGGAATAGCAGAGAGAAGCCCCACTAGGCGGTCCGTGCAGGGGGTCTGTACTGCCTGGGCCTCCCTTCTCCGGGACCCTATACCAGCTCCCACAATCACTCCCCCTCCTGTCCCAACCCCATTCAGGGCCCTGCCATCAGCCAGCTGCAGCTCTGGCAGCAGCACCCTGTCACCCTCTCCCAGCCCTGGTAAGCATGCCTGGCAACGGGGACTGTCTCCATTTCATATGCCAGAAAGCTGAGTAATGGCAGGGACATGAAGTAAATTAGCAGAGATTGGAAGCCAGGTTTCTATAATTTAATCTACATTTAGGGACTTGGGGGTCAGAGGTGAAGCAATAAGAAAGCAAGCCCTATGGGCTCCAGTGTGGAGCAGGCAGCAGGAGGAGGAAACCAGGACACAGCAACAACACATAACAGATGTTGGCAAAATTGAACTGCCCTGTATTGAAAATTTGGGGACCAACTGTGGCAAAACTTAAATGTCAGGTGTGTGGAGGTGATGGAGAGCCAGTAAAGTAAAAGAGTGACAATCAGAGGTGCTTTTGGAAAAGGATCTCTGGCAGCAGGGTGAACCGGTGTGGAGAGAAACGCTGAGTTCTGAGCTATAAGAACGGCAGTGGGATGGGGAAGGGGGGATATGTTTCAGAGGCACTGCAGGGTGTTAAGCTGACATAACTGGGGCCTGACTGTATGTAGGTGAGAGAGAGGGAGGAGGTGAGGGTGTCTCCACCGTATCTGCATTGGGGGGTGGGGTGGTTGGTGGTGTCCTGAGCAGAGAGAGGCAGGGAAATCAGGAGAAGGGGGTGGTTCAGGGCAGAGGTGAGGGAACAGATGCTGATGCTGAGTTCTGTGTGGGCCAAACTAAGTCAGAGATGCTGTGAGACCCCCACGGGGAGATTGGGGGTATGGAGGTAGGAGAGAGCTCTGGGCTTAGCGATAGTTGTGGAAACCAAGAGAGGGGTTGAGGTCACCCTGAGGTGGGGTGCAGAGGGGAGATGAAGGCCCTGAGGATGGACCTTAAACAACTCTTACATGAAGGGCAGCATTTCTCTAGACCTACTCTATCCAATACGGTAGACACTAGCCACACGTGGCTATTGAGCACTTAGAATGCGGCTAGCCTGAATTGAGATGTCCTGCAAGGGTAAAAAGTACATACCAGATCTTGAAGGCAATATGAAAAAAAAACGCAAAACTATTTCATTAATGCTTTTTATATTGATTATATGTTGCAATGTTAATATTTTGGATATATTGGGATAAGTAAAATATATTATTAAAATGAATTTCACCTGTTTCTTTTTACCTTTTAAAAAATATGTCAACTAGGAAATTAAAAATTACACCTAGAGCTTGCCTTATATTGCTATTGCATGACACTGTTCTAGAACCTGGATTCCACAGGATGTGGAATAATTGTTAAGGAAAAAATAAAGTGGGGTGGGAGGGTGGAGGCTAACATCTGCAAGATGCTGCGTCACTCACCGTAACAGGTTTCTGTCCTTCAGGACTTGTCAAGGCAGGCATTATCTCCCTACCTGAGTTGCCCACAGATATTTCCCCTTCCCCTGGACTTCCTATGACAGGACAGCTCTGCAGAACCCACTGTGAGAGGTGTTTTATTTTTTTATTTCTTTGTGAGGAGATTAGCCCTGAGCTAACATCTGTTGCCAATCCTCCTCTTTTTGCTGAGGAAGATTGGCCCTGGGCTAACATCCATGCCCATCTTCCTCTACTTTATATGGGACGTTGCCACAGCATGGCTCGACAAGCGGTGTGTTGGTGTGCGCCTGGGATCGAATCTGCGAACCCCGGGCCACCAAAGCAGAGCACGCGCACTTAACCTCTACGCCACCGGGCTGCCCCGTGAGAGGTGTTTTAAAGATAGGCCTATGAGGTGACTAGAAGGAGACCAGAGAGCAAGGAGGGCAATCAGGACAGAGGTAGGAGGTCCCACAGAATCAGAAGGAGGGGTGGTCAGTGGGGGTCTGGGTCTGGTCAGAGGGACAAGAGGAGGTGGAGACCCTAAGAGAGCCCCTCTGGCCAGGCCTGCAGCCACCTTGGCAGAGCTCACACAGTAGGCCGCAGGCGGTAGCGGAAGCGCACGTCATGGCTGGGCTGTGTGGTGCCAAAGCCCCAACGCTGGGGGTCCACGGGTGGCACAGGTGTGTCAGGGTCCATTAGCTCCAGGTCAAAGTGTGTGACCATGAGCAGGACAAAAAGCTTCATCTCACTGAGGGCCATGAACCTCCCAGGACAGACGGAGACGCCCGAGCCCCACGGCATGGTATAGTGGTGGATCTTCTTGCCTGCCTTGTAGAAGTCCACTTTTCGGCTACCATTGGGGTTGAGGAAGCGGTCATACTTGAAAGCAGTGGGCTCAGGGTGGATGTCAGGGTCCATATGCACTGAAAGGTAAGGGAAGAGGGCCACAATGTCTCCATTGCGGAGCAGGTACTCCTGCCCATTGGCCATCTTCAGGATGTGGTCACCGTGCACTACCCTGAGGAGGGTGGGTGCAGCCCCCAGCCGTAGTGTCTCTTCCATCACACTGTCCAGCACTGGAGTGCGGTGCAGGGCACTGATCTCAAAGTTGAGGGACTGCCTAGCCTCCAGCCTGGCCTCCCCCAGGACCTGCACAGCCTCCTCCCTCACAGCCTGCATGGCTTCTGGGTGCTTCAGGAGGAACAAGAGGGCCCAGAAAGAGGTAGGCCCCGTGTTCCCCTGGGAGGCCCAGAGCATCATGAAATTGAACTTGTCCTGCATGGCCGGAGCTACTCCCTGCTCCCTCAGAAATTGAAGCATGTAGGATATCCAGTTGCTCATGCCATCCTTCTCCAGGTTGTGTTTCACAGAAAGTGTCTTATGGAAGAGACGCTGGAGCCGGCCCACTTCTAGCCACTCTCGGGGCCCCAGCAGGGAGTAAACAAACCTGGGGAACAGGCGATCAAACTTGCGGAACTGGGCGAATAACTCCTCTGCCTGTAGCAGGTCTTGCTCCTTGTCCTTTGTATAGCCAAACAAGCTCAGGTAGCCAGCCTTGAACAAGACGTTGTAGCAGAAGTGAAAGAGGCCATCCTCATGCCAGCAACTGGCATCTGGACTCCGGCCTGTGGGCCCCAGTATAACCAAAGACAGGCTATCCAGCATGACTTTGTTGAGATCCTCCAAGCCATCCCCCATGAGGTGCTTGGTGCTGGCTGAGTGTATCATCCGGTGGTCTCCCTGCACTGAGTGGTATCCAAATACCTTTAGCACCAGTTTTTCTGCATACTTCACAAAGTCCAATTTTCTCTGTGCATCCTTGAGAATGGGGCCAAAGGAGAGGGGGTCCATGACAAAGGTGAAGTACTGGCCCCCTAGCTGCACCGTGAACACATCCCCGTGCTTGGCCCGCATGTGCTTCAGGAATTCAAACATATTCTTCCGGAAAGACATGGCATGGCCCAGCCAGGGTATGGAGCCCTTGTCCAGAGGGGGCTCCTGGGGCCTGCGTTGCCGAAGCAGCCCCAGCAGGTACAGGTACCCCATGACGGCCACCAGCAGAACTCCCAGCACTGGACCCCAGAGCACCATGGCTGTGCTCTTCCAGGTTGAGCTCTGGATACACTGTCTCTGGGTGACAGAGAGGTTTTGAAAGGCCTTGACAAGTTGGGGATGGAAAAGTCTTTCCACCTGGATCTTGCCCTGGGCTGCAAGTTATAGTAAATAACCCTGGTGAGACAGTACCTGGAAGCAAAAAGTTCCTCTGGATTTAGCACTTGGTAGAGCCCGATCATGTGGGAGGAGGAGGCGGGACCAGGAGGAAGCCCAGAGGAAGCCTCTAGCTATGGTCACACCCCCCTCAACAGCTTCAGGTTTTGCTCTAACCTTTTTAGACTCAGCTGCAGCATCTTCTCTACAAAGTCTTCCTTGACCCTCATGACTTACTGACCATTCACGTGGTCATTTATTTACTCATGCATTCATTTATTCATTAATTTGCTAGCTCATTCAGCAGAAATGCACCAAGCACTAAGTTTCACATCCACCCGTTCTTTGTCTTTAGAAGACCCACAGAGCTTCCCAGACTGAGGACTCTTCAAGCAGAGGCTCAGATTTCAGTCTCTGAGTCTCTCGCCTGAGGCAGGGCCTACTGGTCCAATCGGATCGCACAGTTCTCTAGCAAGGACAGATTGGGAATCTTGGAATTATGAAATGTCAGAGATGATAGGGAATTCAAACCAATTGCTTTATTTCATGATAAGGATCTAGGCTCAGAGTGTAGTGGGGACTTTCTCTGAAAGCTCCCATAGCTTAGGTGAGTGAGTTGACTCTTTACTGGGGGCATTCTGTGAGATGTCAGGCCTGGTCCCTGACAGCAAGTCCAAGAAGGAGAAAGCTGTGCCATTGACTCTAACGCTTTAATCAAGCAGCCTGGCCCAGTTTTGCAATAGTTGAGGTTCAGATTTAATTCAACCAGTTCTGATAAACCCCCAAGTTACTCTTTAACTTCTTAAATGACGAGCAAACAGGGACTTTGTCTCCTCAGAAAACCGTGGGATTTCCACATGCCCTCTTGAGTGAACTCCCTTTTCCCTTGTGTAGCTCTCCTCTGCGGGGAGCTGGAAACATCCACACTCTGCCTCCATGAAGTCCTCTCTGATGGCTCAGGGCAACCAGAGCAAGTACTCAACACCATCATCTCTCCCCAGCCTTAGAATCTATAGTCAGAAACAGTCTGTGGCCCAATTCTGACGAGCTGAATTTGTCCCCCAGTGTTTAATGGATGGCAGCACCATCTTACATTCATTCTCACCTTCATTTATTTATTCACTCACACCCTCTCATCCATTCATTCCCTCCTTCCTTGGAATAGCCCCATCTATCCATTCAACAGAAATTTACTGGACACTTACTGCCAGAAATTTTGCTACAACCATGAATGAGATAGACACAGTCCCTGTCCTCTTGGAGTTTATGGTCTAAGGAAGGAAAAAAGATAGTGCAGAGAGCATACAAAATGGAAGAACTCATGCTAAGGACTCGGCACAAGAAAATGGAGTTACAGTGTAACTGACAACACCTTAAAGGGACACCCAAAATCACAAAAACCACAGACACACCCAGAGATAACCAGACAGCACGATTGCAGACCTGGATAAGCAACATAAAACAGAGAGAAGAAGGAACACTGATGCCAGCTAGCCATCCCAGAGAGAGGACAACACACTGCTGGTCGCCTTGTTGATTCCTGTGCCTCTCACCATCCTCTTGGCTGGACTGATTTTGTAGCTGGACAAACCCAGGACCCTGTCACTGCAGCCAAATCAATGAACACAATGACCAGGGATCGAGGAAAAGAAAAATGCTTTCATTTTGCTAGCACAATGAGGCTGCAGTGGGCTCATGTCCCCAAACCCACAGTCCTCCTGAGGCATTAAGGGTTGGGGTTTTTAAAGGAAAGTCTGTGGGAGAGAATTTGTGACTGTGATTATTTGCTGGGTGGGGTGTGTGTGGGGGAATATTGTGGGACAATATTCTGGTGTCGGGCCAGCTGAGATCTCTATCTACAGCAGGAGGTTTAGAGCTCCATTGATCAATCTTCCTGCGCCACCTGAAATTGGGTCCTGGGGAGTGGAAGGAAACTCTACCAATTATAGGTTACAAAGTTTACAAGGTTTTAGATAGGGGAGCAGGAGCTGTGGCTTTGTAGTTCAGAGTCCTCCTATCAGCCTGTGTTTGGCTGAGATAAGGGAAGTTGCGGGTGTCCTCCGTTTGTCTGTCTCTGTGATGAGTGGTGGATTTGGCATCAGGAAGTCAAGGAGTTTGGGAGCTTCAGCTTCTTGATAATTTCTGGATATCAGTATCCCTGTAATAAACCTCAAGAACTGGTAATTAGCCCAGCTTCAGTGTGAAGCCACTTGGGCTCTTAACAATTTATTACTTCCATTTTCCTTGTGGGATTCAGGGATACAAAGGTTAAAACAACCAATATATACATGTGAACGGACCTTAGAGAAGCAGGGAAAGGGAATGAGTGTGTGGGAGATCAAGATTTGGCCACTCTGAAATCTATCTCTTTACCTTGGTTGTTTTCTCTGAAGGACATTTGATCTCCCCCACTAACTGCCTAAAGAATTTGACATGGTGGCTCCTTCCTAGAACAGATCTATCATGACTGCTATAAAGATAATGTAGGATAGAGGTTACAATAGAAAAGGCACCAACAAGCCCATCTTATCGAGAGTTCTGTCTCTCTGGCCACATTCTTTGGATGGCCCTGCAAGGAGTTGCCAGACAATCATTTACAAGGGAAGTCTCCATTTGTAAAGGTATCTCCCTCTCTGTATTGGGAAGAGGGGGGATGAGCTCATTTCTAGTCACTTATCAATGTGGAAGGTGAGGCCTTGGGGCTGCATAATAAACCTTACTCTTGTTTACTGTGCTTTAGTGGTAATCTCCTGTAACTGACTCCCCCAACCCCCAAAATCCTCCTTTGTCATTGGCTGAACATGGTATTTAAGACGAGAATTTCTGCTATTGTGTTGAGAAACACAGTGTCCCTGCTTTCTCCCATGTATACATGTTATTAAACTTGGTATTATTTTCTCCTGCTAACCTGTCTTGTTAATTATTTGGCCAGCCATAAGAACCTTAAGGAAAAGGGCAGAGGGAGATTCTCCCTCTTCCCCCTACAAGTGCTTTTTGGTTTTTAGCCCCATATATGCTGGGTTCAACATAGGAGAACTGATACCAGGGCTGGCATCAAGAGAGAAGCTACAAGGCTTTTTTTGTTTTTCCCTGGTTACAATTTCCCATTCCAACTCACTGGACTGTGTGAGGACTTTGTGGACTGTGGTTCGTAACCCCTTGCATATTGAATGCTGTGTTTGGTGTTAATTAATGTTTTTATGATACTCATATGATTTAATGTGTGATGTTTGATTGAGTCTCTGTAAAGGAACGCCGGGCTGTTACCCCCGCTCCTGGACCTCAGTTGCTTCCGGTGACATCCTTTGAATTTACCCTAATAAATTCTGGCATTGTGGAAAGACACAAAAGTGAGTGGACAATCCATTATTAGCCACTCATTACAGATAGTAAATCACTGCCCGACGAAGTATATAATTAGAATTGTGTTAAGTGCTACAAAGTAGAAGAGCAGAGGGGGAAGGGGGGTGGGGAGTCAGGAAGCCCACACTGATGAGCTGGAAATTAAGTGGAGGCACGGAAGACAACAAAGCCAGGTCCATGCACGTTCTGTGTGGTGGTGGTGCTGGAGGTGGGGGGATGGGAGGGTGGGGCACGTGGCAGGCTCGTCCCAAGGTACAGGGTGCACACCCACTCTGGGGCCTATGTTGCTGGAGAGCTCAGAGGAGGGGGACGAGTCTCCAGCAGGGGGCCGGCTCGGCGGGCTCAGGGCGGATTCGGGCTTTCACCCATCACGCTGCCCTGAACCCCTCACTCCAACCAGTCCAGCCACCCGTGCGACTGGGTCCAGCCCGCCGGGGCCACTGAGGGACGGCTAGATGGACCGGCAGTGATTACTGGCTCTCCCGGGCGTAGGTGGGTCTATCCTAAGGAAATCGGCCCACGCGCTGCCCTCAGCCTTTCCGGCGAGCCAGGTGCCGGCGAGCCAGAGCGAGCACCACGAGCACTCAGCCCCTCAGCCTTCCCTGCTTGGGCCGCAGCTCCGCGGGAGGATGGCGGCGAAGCTAAGAGGGTGGGCAGGCGGGGCTGGAAGAACCAACGACACGCAGAGACGGCCTCCGGGCGTGCTAGAGCGGGAGCGGGCCCGAGGGCCGGAAAGGCGGTGACGCACTTCCGGGTCTGCTGCCCCTCGCTACGGCGCGTCCAGGCAGGCGCTGTGGCTGGTCGTCGGTGCAGCGGTGGTGTCTGTCCGTTGGCCAGCCGGGCTTCGAGCTGAGGCGCGGTGTGTGTAGTTCGTTTGCAGAGCAATCAGTAAGGGCGTAGGGCTGGGGCTGGGGAGGATGTGCGGAGGGGGCTGCCTCTTTCCCTCCCAGCGCCCTTGTTTCTAATCCGCGGGCTGAGCGAAGCCACTTCTTGGGCCCACACTCCTGGGAGTTCTCATCTCATAAGCAGCGTAAAACAGTTCTCATCTCATAAGCCCGACAGGAGCATCGTTTTTGTTATCCTTTAACATTTTTTGTGCTCCTTTGTTGCTAACCTTGTTTTCACATTCCGTGGTGGGCAGGTGGGTGGGTTGAGTTCTCTAGACAGGGCTCAAGCGGGTCTCTGGTTCCATCCGGTCTCATGTCTTCTCATTCCATATATGGTCCAGAAATTTGAGCAACTGTGCCCGACCGGAGGGTTCTGTTTAACCTGCTGTGGTTCCTGTATTGGGGTTCTCCTCTGGGGGTTCTCTAGTTCGGATGCACTGGCTATCCCTTGAGTCTTGTTTGCCCTTTGTTCCAATTACGGATGATATTGACTTCTCTCTCAATGCCTGCTACTTCCTGCCCACTGCCTCACCCCCAGAAGTAACAGCAGTACTGTTGAAATGGAGATGCAGGGGAGAAATTAGTTTACTCTGCCTTTAGATCAGATAATAGTCTCATTTAGCTTAGGGCTGGGCTTATTTATGGCTTCATTTCCTTCCTAATTTTCAAGATTCCTTCTTTTTTTCCAGGGAGAGAAGCAAACCCCTCAATGACAGCTGGGTTCTTGACAGCCTAGCTCCAGGTTAATTATCTTACTCTTTGCCTGCATCACATATACCAGGTGACAGCCAGTGTAGGACTTAAAGGGCAAACTTGGGTTCATGTCTCAACTCTGTAACCAACTCATGACATGACCTAGGACATTTCATTTCACCTTTCTGGGCCTTGCTTTTCTGCTCTGTCCAACAGGAGGCTGAACTTGAGGTACTTGCCAGCAATGAGATGCCATTTTAAAGGTATTAGGCTGTGCATTCACTAAGAGACTAAGAGATATGAGAGTATATAGTGGAAGAGGATGGAGGGATAGGATGGGAATTAGAATGATTGGTATTGAGCGCCTGTCCTGTTCATGGCTGTATGCTGGTCATCCTCATTGC